TTTTTTTACTTCTAAATTTTATTTATTTTTTTGTTGTTGAGAATATACACATCAATGCATACACCAATTCAACAATTTCTACATGTACAATTTAGTGACACTGATTACATTCTTCAAGTTGTGCAACCATTCTCATCTTCCTTTTCTGAGTTTTTCCTCCCTCGTTAACATAAACTCACTGCCCCCTAGGGTTCCTATCTAATCTTTCAAGCTGGAGGACAATTTTTTTTAATTATTTTTTTTAAATTGTACTTTAGATGAAGGTTTACAGAGCAAAGTAGTTTCTCATTAAACAATTAGCATACATACTGTTTTGTGACATTGGTTGCCAACCCCACTATATGTCAATACTCTCCCCTTCTCCACCTTGGGTTCGCCATTACTAGCTTTCCTGTCCCCTCCTGCCTTCTCGTCCTTGCCCCTAGGCTAGTGTGCCCATTTAGTCTTGTTTCGTTTTATGAGTCTGTCTAATCTTTGGCTGAAGGGTGGACCTCAGGAGTGACTTCATTACTGATCTAAAAGGGCGTACAGGGGTCATACTCTCGGAGTTTCTCCAGTCTCTGTCAGACCAGTAAGTCTGGTCTTTTTTTTTTTGTGAGTTAGAATTTTGTTCTACATTTTTCCCCAGCTCTGTCCGACACCCTCTATTGTGATCCCTGTCAGAGCAGTCGGTGGTGTTAGCTGGGCCCCATCTAGTTGTGCTGGACTCAGTCTGGTGGAGGCTGTGGTAATTGTGGTCCATTTGTCCTTTGGACTAGTCTTTCCCTTGTGTCTTTGGTTTTCTTCATTCTTCCAGATGGGGTGAAAGCAGTGGAGTATCTTAGATGGCCGCTCACAGGCTTTTAAGACCCGACATGCTACTCACCAGAGTAGAATGTAGAATATTTTCTTTATAAACTCCGTCATGCCACTTGAACTAGGTGTTCTTGAGACCATAGTCCCCAGAGCCCTCAGCCCAGTAATTTGGTCCCTCAGGGAGTTTGGATGTGTCTTTGGAGCTTCCATGACCTTGCCTTGGACAAGTTGTGCTGACTTCCCCAGTATTGTATACTGTCTTACCCTTCACCAAAGTTACCACTTATCTATTGTCTATTTAGTGTTTTTCACTCCCACTCTTCCTCTCCCTCATAACCATCAAAGATTGTTTCTTTTTTTTGTGTAAACCTTTTCATGAGTTTTTATAGTGTCTCATAAAATATTTGTCCTTTTGTGATTGACTTATTTCATTCAGCATAATGCCCTCCAGATTCATCCATGTTGTGAGATGCTTTGCAGATTCATCATTGTTCTTTATTGTTGCATAGTATTCCATTGTGTGTATATACCATAGTTTGTTTATCCAGTCATCTGTTGCTGGGCATCTAGATTGTTTCTGTCTTTTTGCTATCATGAGTAATGCTGCAATGATCATGGGTATGCATATGTCTATTTGTGTGACTGCTCTTATTTGTCTAGGATATATTTCTAGAAGTAGGATTCTGGATCATATGGTATTTCTATTTCTAGCTTTTTAAGGAAGCGCCATATCGTTTTCCAAAATGGTTGCACCATTTTGCATTCCCACTAGCAGTGCATAAGAGTTCCAGTCTCCCTGCAGCCTCTCCAACATTTGTTATTTCCAGTTTTTTGATTCGTGCCAGTAATGTCGGAATGAGGTGGTATCTCATTGTGGTTTTGATTTTCATTTCTCTAATGGCTAGTGATCACGAGCATTTCCTCATTTATCTGTTAGTCGCTTGATTATCTTCTTTGGTGAAGTGTCTGTTCATTTCCTTTGCCCATTTTTTAATCGGATTATTTGTCTTTTTGTTGTAGAGGTGTTGGATTTTCCTGTAGATTTTAGAGATTAGACCTTTGTCAGATTTGTAATAGCCAAAAAATTTTTCCCAGTCTGTAGGTTCTCCTTTTACTCTTTTGGTGAAGTCTTTTGATGAGCGTAAGTGTTTAATTTTTAGAAGATCCCAGTTATCTAGCTTATCTTCTGGTGTTTGTGTGTTGTTAGTTCTGGTTTGTATTCTGTTAGTGTCGTGTATTAGGGCCTCTAGCATTGAACCTATTTTTTCTTCTATGACATTTATAGTTTTTGGTTTTATATTTAGGTCTTTGATCCATTTTGAATTAGTTTTTGTGTATGGTGTGAAGTATGGGTCCTGTTCCATTTTTTTGCAGGTGGATGTCTAGTTTTGCCAGCACCATTTGTTAAAAAGACTGTCTTTTCCCCATTTGATGGACTTTGGACCTTTGTGGAAGATCAGGTGACTGTAGGTGGATGGATTTACATCTGGGTTCTCAGTTCTGTTCCATTGGTTGATGTGTCTGTCATTATAGCAGTACCAGGTTGTTTTGACTACCATAGCTGTACCGTAGGTTCTGAGGTCAGGTAGTGCGAGTCTTCCTAGTTTATTCTTTTTCAGTAGTGCCTTTACTTATCTGGATCCTCTTTCCTTTCCATATAAAGTTAATGATTAGTTTTTCCATCTATTTAAAGAATGCTGATGGTATTTGGATTGGAATTGCATTGTATTTTTAGATTGCTTCGGGTACAGTTGACATTTTCACAATATTAGTCCATCTATCCATGAGCATCGTATGTTTTTGCATTTATGTAGGTCTCTTCTGGTTTCTTGCAGTAGTATTTTGTAGTTTTCTTTGTATAGGTCTTTTGCATCCCTGGTTAGATTTATTGCTAAGTATTTTATTTCTTTAGGGGATATTATAAATGGTATTGTTTTCCTGATTTCCTTTTCCTATTTCTCTTTATTGGTGTATAGGAATCCAAGTGATTTTTGTATGTTTATCTTGTATCCTACTACTCTGCTGAATCTTTCTATTAATTCCAGTAGTTTTCTCATGGAGTCTTTTGAGTTTTCTATGTTGGAGGACAGAACTTTTGAACGCATTATTATCTACAAGAATCCCACTCATGTGGTCTCTAATCACAGCAGTCTTGTAGCCCTGTATCATTTGTTTTGGCTTAGTTTTAAAATTATACTGGTAATACATGAAGATATTCTCATCATAAAAAAACAAAACAAATAACAGCAAAAAGCAGAAAAGATCCCCCTGTCCATTGCCTTGTCTGTACTGCCTCCTCCGTCTTAGTCTCTGTCCTCTGGGGTAACCACTTTTACCAGAGTTTTCTCTACAATTACATGTACTGTGCCTTTTTAAAAATGTTTTAGTAAGAAGATGCCAAAATGGCTTTCTTAAGAGTATAAACTTGAGGTAACGTGACAGGAAAAGATCTTCATCCTCTCCTACAGTATGCATTTACTCTTAATTTGGAACATATGTATGAAGTAAAATTAACATTTCCCTAGGAGGCAAATTTGGATGTAAATTAGAATTCCATAGATTACTATAGTTTTAAAATTTGTAAAATCTTTTTACTATCAGGAACTGTTGTTACATATATATTATTGACTAAGAAATTTGAAAGTTCGTTAGAGATAGCACACTAATGAACTACTTTCCAGATTTGGCTTACAAATCAGTTTTATTTGGCCTCCACAGTGTTTTAGAATTTTTCTAAATTGAAAAATTAATTAATGTCTTTAGTTGGGACATACATTCTCCATAGAGTCTACCACCCCCTATATAGCTTCATTTATTTTGGTACCTGTTTGACCCTAAAGGCATTTGAATTTCGGACTCCTGTTTTGAGAAAAGGTTCAGAGTTAAGTTGAACTGCTTGTTTTGCTCAGATATTGTTGTTAGGTGCTGTCAAGTTGGTTTCGACTCATAGCAACCCTGTGTACAACAGAACAAAACACTGCCTGGTCCTGCGAGCCTTACAATCATTGCTATGCTTGAGCCCATCGTTGCAGCTACTGTGTCAGTCTGTCTCATTGGGGGTCTTCCTCTTTATCTCAGACCGTCTATTTTACCAAGCATGGTGTCCTTCTCCAGGGACTGGTCCCTCCTGATAACATGTCCAAAGTATGTGAGACGAAGTCTCACCATCCTCATTTCTAAGGAGCATTCTGGGTGTACTTCTTCCAAGACTGATTTGTTCATTCTTTTGGCAGTCTGTGGTATATTCAGTTTTCTTCACATATAGTTAAGCTCAAATCCAAAGATGTAGGTGAGTTCCCTGATATAAACTTAATTTATATATCTAACATATGTATATGTGAATCTATATGTTTTTTCTTTGATATTATATGTTATGGATTGAATTGTGCCCCCCCCAAATGTGTATCAACTTGACTAGGCCATGATTCCCAGTATTATGTGGTTGTCCACGATTTTGTCATCTGATGTGATTTTCCTGTGTTTTAAATCCTACCTCTATGATGTTAATGAGGCAGGATTAGAGGCAGTTCTGTTAATGAGACAGGACTCAGTCTACAAGATTAGGTTTTGTCTTGAGTCAGTCTCTCTTGAGATATAAAAGAGAAGCAAACAGAGAGACAAGGGGACCTCATACCACCAAGAAAGTAGTGTCAGGAGCAGAGCGCATCCTTTGGACCCAGGGTCCCTGTGCTGAGGAGCTCCTAAACCAGGGGAAGATTGAAGACAAGAACCTTCCTCCAGATCTGACAAGGAGAGAAAGTCTTCCCCGGGAGCTGGAGCCCTGAATTCAGACTTCTAGCCTAGTAGACTGTGAGAGAATACATGTTTTCTTTGCTAAAGCCGCTTGTAGTGTTTCTGTATAGCAGCATTAGGTAACTAAGACATTATACATTATATAATTGCCATTATTCTTTAAAATGATTGGTGTCCTGCATGTCTTCACTATAATATAGTTGTAGGGTTGCTATGGCTTGAATTATCGTGCTCAATTTCTTAGCTGTTGGCTTAAACAGAAAGTTTACATGTATGCTATATATATTCTTTTGAATATATGATCTGTTTTATTTATTTTAAAAAGTGTTTAAGGACTTGTTTATAATTCTTTATTCCCTAGAGTAAAATAACCAAAAGTTTGTCATATGAAAGAAAATTAATGTCATTTGAAACTCACATTTTCATAATTTTTTTTCTTATTATTGATATAGATGAGTAATGAGAGAGGCTTTGAAAATGTAGAACTGGGAGTTGTAGGAAAAAAGAAGAAAGTCCCAAGGAGAGTCATCCACTTTGTTAGTGGTGAAACAATGGAAGAATACAGCACAGATGAAGATGAAGTTGACAGCCTAGAGAAGAAAGATGTTTTGCCTACTGTTGATCCGGTAGGTTTGATATTGATGATTCTTTTATCAAAAGGTTTTGTTTTGATTGATTTGTTTCCCCTTAAATATTGAATGGAAAGGGCTTTTGAGATTTAAATAAACTGTATTTTGATTATAAAATTATATTTTATGATTTTAGTAGAAAATAATATACTTACAATATGGTTAGAAATATTTCCAGCATTTCAGTAGCCTGAAACAATTTGTCTTTAAATGTCAAGAGTTCTTTGTCAGTTTGTGTAGTTTTCTTTAAGATTTATCTTCCTAAATAAAGTTCTGGAAGTACTGGAATAACAGAGTCTTTGAATTAAGGACCTTACTGCCATAATATTTTCTACGCAAAGCTTAAGAGTTGTCAGTTCTTTTTCATATTGTCCCAACTTTTGATTAGAAGATAGGAGTCTACAGTTTTTAGTGTGCCTCACCAGCTAAATTTGAAAATTTCTAAATGATAAAATATGTGACTATGAAGTTATAAGGCTAACTGTACACTTAAAGGAGTGTTGCCTTTCCAAGTAGTCATTTTGAGAGTATAGTTGATGAAATATTTACTGGCTTTCTTATAGGTACTGTTTTAAGTGCTGGTGATACAGTAGTGGACAGAATAAATTTATGCTCTTATATGCTAGTGGGCAGATAGACAATAAATAAATACATTTATTTATTGAAGAAAATAAAGCATAGTAAGAGGGGTAGAGAATTATTAATTTATATTTGACTTAAAAACAAAATGTTAATACCCATTGTCAGACTTGGCTAAATTAATTTCGACTATTAAATCAGATCCAGATTCTCTACTACAGAAAACATTGTGTAATATATATTATGAAGGCAATCCCAAATGCATGTGAAATATTACAGAAATGTTTTATGCAGTGGGAGAATTGTTGGAATAATTTTTTTTTAAATATTTTGAAGGAGTTCTTATTTGTATAATTTTATGTATATGTGTATGTTTTTAAAAGTTGTTGTAAAAGTTGCTCTGTATTTACGTAGAAATTGATAATAAAGGCGTAGTCATATAAGGGATGCATCCTTATTACTTTCCTAATAATTTACTCTTAAAATGACTTTGTATGTAGCCTGTCTATGTAAGGATTTCCTTGAATTTTTAGGCCCAAACTGATGAGCCCCTGGATGGTCTGGTAAAAAAGATGTCTATATTTCCTTCAGCTTGGGAAGTCAGAAGCTTGGTTTTAGTTCTGGCTCTGTTCTTTAGTAATTTTGAGCAAAGACTTAACTTTCAACTCACTTCAGGTTCCATGATTATAAACAAAATAGAGATAATAACATTTACTCATCTACATTGAGTTATTTTTGAAGATTAAATGAGACAGTACAGATGAAAACTCGTTGAAAAATGATTAAGCTCTATATACATGTAAGGTAGTATTAGTTAACAGAGCAAATATAATTGTAAGTAGCACAAGAAATCTTCAAATTCCACTAGAATTTGAAAATCCATGACAAATTTCTTTATTTTCCCTATAGTTCTTACTCGGCATCATTTTAGAGTTTATGAAATTAATTTGTATGATGGATCAAATCTAAAATATCCATTCTGAAGTTTTAAAATTAGTCTTCTTTTGTGGTAACTAATGTCTTCAAGAGTACAGTGATTTTTAAGAAAATAGGAGCTGCTGTTACACTGTAGTGGGAAGCTTTATGTTATAAACTCAGCCTGAAGTTAAGAAGAATGATTTTTTACTTGAATTTTAAATAAAATTTTCACAAAAGATGTAGTACAATTTATGAAGAATTGATAATTAACAAATAGGACTATCCATGTTGACTACTTTAACAGACTAAACAGTAACAATTACTTAAACCTTTTGCCAAGAGAGATACGATTTATTTCTTTGGTATTTTTCATTGACTTCATTTGGTTTGTTATTTATGCATGTACATGTTAATATTAATATGTCACTTTCTTTTTTTAATGCTGCAGCTGTATGTAGACTTCTGATTGTACCTACAAGCAGTCCCCGCCCCCCCCCCCCGAGCGCCCTCCCCAAATTACTTTACGTTGTTTTGGAGGGAAGTTTTAAACATTCCCTGCTAAAGGCTACAGCTCCTATTTGGCTAGTCTTTCTTGGTTCCCAGTAACTGCTCTTTCTTCTTACCTCTTCAAGCACAGGGGAGGTAATGGTTCCCGTACTGTTACTAGCCCTGGGATAATTTTCTGTTCTCTGTTGGTTTTCTAAACCCAGTGTACATCTTTGTAAATAGTCCCTTTATTAAACTCTTCTCATGTTAGCTAATTTGAATGTATCATCTCTTTCATCTGTATCATCTGCCAGAACTTTGACTGATATAACAGCCAACACTTGTCCGTTAGAGTAATTTTTAATTTCTGAAGACTGATCTGGCTTCACTTCATGTGAAGAGCAGATTTTTCATTTCCCTTTACTTCTGATGCATCATCTGGTATGATGAAAGAGTTGAAAAGATACTATCCTATAGTTACATTGCAGATTTGTAAAACAGACCCTAATTTAAAAAAAAAAAAAAAAAAAAACCCTGATATTTAAAATAAAGATTTAAGAATACTACAGGTAAATAATACTTGATAGAGAATAAGAAATGGAGATCTAGATTTTTTTACAATTGTATGGTAATTGTTCACTTAGATTTTCGTTGTTGTGTCTTAGATGTACCTTAAGAATAAAAATGTTTTTTTGTAATTCCCGTAACTATTGATTTACTTCCAATTACGTTTCCTCAAATATGTGTGTGTGTATACGTGTGTATATATATATATTTAAAAATTTGGTCATGCCCATAATTTTCACCTATATAAATGGGCTGATGTCTTGTAGTAGAGTCAGAAAAGTATCTGGGCTCATTTTTTGGCTGTTGAGTTAGAAAAAAGAAAAAGGACAATGTCCTATGTGTAGAGGGTACAAGGGAATGGGTAGCCTCATACACTGTTGCTGAATATTTATTGGTACATTTTCTGTTACAAAATTTTGCAGTGTGAACTTTCCAAATGATTATATCCGTTGGCCTAGTAATTACTTTTAGGAATTTAAGCATGTAGGGGGAACTATGCTTAATATCACAGTATAGTAAATGGGAGAAAACAGCAGGATAGAAAAAGTGTATAGTACAACAGTTTAGAAAAAAAAATATATGCTTAGAAAAAGACTGGAAAGATACATTAAAATGTTAACGGTAATCTCTGGATGATGAAATGGGTGATTTAAATTTGTTTTATACTTTGCTGTATTTTTCAAGTGTTTTACAGTAAGCAAGCATTAATTTTATAATCTGAAAATAAGTTGTTTAAAATCAGAAAAGATAGCAGTTCTTAACAGGGAGAGAAAAGATTATATTTAGATTTTTAGAGAAAAGAATCAATCAGTTTGAGTTTTAGCACCATGAACTAGAACTCTTGACAATTCCAGAGATCTTGTCCTAGTTCTGCTGTTACTAGCGTGGTGGCAGTGGTGATGCTGGCAGTGGTGGCAGAGTTCCAGTACAGACTCTTGAGCCACTGTCCTTTTGATTCAGTAAGGCCAGTGTCCAAATAGAAGGCTCTATTCATTGATTCTGTATAACTGTGTGGGATAATGATGGATGTTATTCAGGATTCCTTATCCAGCTCCTCAGCTCTGGAGCAGATTTGCCTCTTCATTAGTCACCGCCTGGATATTAGCAGTTATTCTCTCTAGAAACAACCCCAGGAGAATTGGTCCACTGAGAAATATATTCTTTCCTCCAAAGCATGCCTAGCCCTTTTCTAGGTAGTTTCTTGGCCCTATCATTTATCATGTGTTATAGAAATTGGTTTCATTCCCTATACTTCTGACACTGTCTCATTTGCTGTAAACCATAAAGTAAATACTAATGTCAACATCTTTAAGTCTCTAAAGTAACCCTTATCCCCACATAAGAGACCACTTCTGTTCTGAATATAGGAGATACAGCAGATTTGATCAAGGGAGTCAGAAATACACATTATTTTCTTGGCTCAATTTGTTTGTTTGGATATTCACTCGAGTAAATAGAGACAAAGGATCTACCTTACATCTGTGTGTTTTCAGACATACATACTATCACAGAAATTGGCATACTTACTTTTCACGGCAAGACTGGGTTATATGCTGTTTCCTTCCCTCAGCTTTAGCCGTTTGACCCAGTCTTACAGATATTCTTGTGTTTGCCTTTTTAATAGGATGATTATAGACATGTTTATCTCTTTCTCCTGTCTTTGGAACCAATATTAAAAAATCATTAATGTATTTGATTGCAGGCTCTGTACTATATTTTCTTTTTCTAAACAAAAATGTTGATACAGTGAAGCATGCCTGCAGTACCGATTTTATCCAGAGAGGCAAACTATCATCTGTTTGGGGAGCTTCACAAAAGTCACAACCAACATTAGTTATGGATTTGCATTCTGCCAGTGGTCCTGGCTACCAAATATATACTGAGCTTGTCTTTGGTTTCATGGTCTAGTCCCTTTTTAATCCTTAAAACAAATAAATAAAAAACTCATTTTTTAATTTTTCCCACCATTAAAAGCTCATTTGATATGCCCTTAGTTATGCTGCTTAATTTCTCTGAACTGTAGTTTTCCCGCTGTAACATAAGTGTGTTGGACTATATGATCTAAAGTTCTTTTACTGCCTACTCTCCCTGTTGTACTTATAAGCAGTGAAGACAACAAAGCAGCAAGACAGGAGAAAGAAAGACCCTGGATTAGCCATAAAAATGGTTTATTAACCCACGAATAATCAATCATATGACTTACCAATTCCATTTGGTGGCTGCATCTTTTTTTTGGTTCTTCCTTGGGCTTAGGGTGGTTGTAGTTATAAGGGCGAATGAAAAATGTCTTTGTGGAATTCTACCTATAAAGGTTTTACATTTTTGATTAGATTATAGTCTGTAGTATTGCCTGTAGAATACATAGAATATGTGCCCACTACTACTTTAAGTATTTGACTATTTTATTCTGGCCTGAAATATATAAAACGAGTTTAGGTATGAATGTTGCTAACCTGACTTCTTCTTGCAGAGAAAACTTACCTGGGGCCCCTACTTATGGTTTTACATGCTTCGGGCTGCCACATCAACCCTCTCAGGTATTGGTTTTCTGTTTGAATATTATATAACTGATGTAATATGCTCCAACAACAGAAGCTTTGCCAAAATAGATGTTTCCAAAATGAAAGAGAAACAAGGAGTTAAATCACTCTATCCTCAGCAGCTGGCTAGCATTGGTAGACTTCGTGTATTAATTTGACTTGTATTTCAGCTTAAAACATCTTCAGCTCCAGGCTGTGTTAAAAAAAAAAAAAAAACCTGAAAAATGACTGTATTAAATATTATTTTCATGCCCTTGAATCCTTTCTGTTAGCAACTGTTTTGCCATTTTGTCATTTGGTCCCTATTAGTACTGTTCTCATTCTGTCTGACTGCTTATTCTGAGCCTGTAGTTGTAATTCATTTGTATATTTACATATTTCATTTCTTAAGTTGAAATATAACTAATTCCTATTTGAAGGAAATGCGTTATCAATTTTTATCACTCAATCACGCTAACTTTATAGGTTTTAAACCACGAAGCTTTCCTCTGAATTCCCAATTTTAACTCCATCATAGCTTCTATCACTTTCTGTTTTGTATTAGAGCTAACTGTGAATGGTAATTTAGTCAACAAACATTTACTGAGCACTTAGTATGTGGTAGACATCTTAGTGTAATGGAAAGAACATAAGCTTTAGATTCAGACCTGGATTTGAAATTTGGATCTGCTTTGTCAGCTTGGGTAAGTTCCTTAACCTCTCTGAGCCTAACCTTTCACAGTGCCTGGCACATGGTGGGCCCTCAGTGAATGTTATAGTACAAGCTATTCCTCTCCTTCAGCCCAATGCATATCTCACCCCTCTAAAAGTATTTCTCCTTAAAGAGATAGACATATAACAGATCATTATAATATCTGGTGGCAGGTGTCATAATAGAGTTATGAACACAAAGTTATTATTGGGATCCCAGAGGTAGCCATAAATGCTTCTTGAGGAGATCAAGGAGGATGTACAGAAGAGAAATGGGCTTGGTTTTCATAATCTCCTTGAGAGCAGGAACTGAAACTTGTATTCCTACAATGCCTTGCAATAGAAAGTGCTCAAGAAATGTTTATGGAATTGTATAAGTCATTTAACTTTTCTGTCTTTAGTGTGTGACTTTCTTGGAGAGAAGATTGCATCTGTTTTGGGCATCAGCACCCCAAAATATCAATATGCCATTGATGAGTATTACCGGATGAAGAAGGAGGTATGTCTCCTTTTTATATTTTCTTGATTGTTTGGTTTGCTATAAACTTGATGGATTGCATAATGAACATATGTATTCTCAAAGTAGCTCCCTTCTGCTAGGCATTTAATTCTGATGTCAGTAATTACTTTTATCAAATTGACATACATTTTAGATTTTTAAAAATGCTTCAATTTCTGTGTGATCTATGTACAGAGCTAAGCTAGATTTTATGAAAAATTGAGGAATCTGGGTGATGAGGCTTGATGTAAAATAGACAAACGAAAAATAAAAAACAAAAAAAGCCAGCTTTAATGAAGTATATTATGTGCTCCACATTCATTGCCAGGTAATAGTGCTTTTGAGGAAAGGGAGATAAGGTAGATAGTATAGGGATTAAGAGAGCAGATTTTGAAATTAAACTGCAGGTTTTGAATCCCATCTTCCTTACTAGGTGTATGCTCTTGGGTGAGTTGTCTAACTCTCTAAGCCTCAGTTTTCTCCCCTGTAAAACAGGAATGATAATATGCATTAAACAGGGTAATTGTAAGAATCACATGAGATGATGATATAGGGCATTCTCAGCAGAGTGCCTCTCATGATAGGTGTTCAGGAAATAGTATTATGGAATGAATGTTATAGCGGATGTGTCAATACTGTATACTCTGGGATATGATTTATTGACCAGGTTAATATTAAATTTTTAGGTTTCAATTTATATCTGTTTTTTAGGTTTTATCCTAGGAAATGAATAAACTATTATAATTTGAACTTGTACTACTCTGAATATGTTAATTTGTAGTTCATAGACAAACCTATTTACTATAATACGCAAAAGATACAAACAAACAAGTTAATCATGTTAGAACATAATAAAAACTTGATATAAGCACTAGTAGTCTGACATCCTAAAGTATCAAGTATAAAAATCAACAATACTTATATCAGACTTAATTTTGGGTGTCTAAGGTCAAGAATCAAGGGAAGTATATGTCAAATCCATAGCATTATGAAGAGCCTGTAAGGTTTTGTATGTTCTCACTCTCTCCAACTCCTCCCCTGCGTGCCCCCCGCCCCATTACACACATTACCCTCTGACTTATTCCTTCCAACTTAACACTTGCTCAGTCTGTTCTGGCCAAGGTGGCAGCCTTGCTGTTCGTTAAATACACTAGGCATGTTCTCCCTGATGCCTTTGCACCAGCTGTTTCCTCTGCCTGAAATGATATTCTCCCAGATATATGTGTGGCTGACTTCCTCACTTTCAAGTCTTTGCTCATATGTCACCTCAGAAACATAGGCTTGACCACCCTGTTTAGAATTACAACCCCTCACAACCTTTCCCCAACAGCACTTCCAATTCCCCTTACGCTGATCTATTTTATCCCTCGTACTTAACACCTTTTGACATACTGCATGGGAGTACCTGGGTAGCTCAAATGGTTAAGTGCTTGACTACCAAGGCACCTTGGAAGAAAGGCCTGGTGAACTGCTTCTGGAAGATCATAGCCTTGAAGACCCTATGCAGCACAGTTCTGTTAGATGGCAACTAGTTTTTGTTTGTTTTTTTAAATTGTGCTTTAGATGAAAGTTCACAGCTCAACTTAGTTTCTCATTCAGAAATTTACACACATATTGTTTTGTGACATTGGTTGCAATTCCCACAATGTGACAGCATTCTCCCCATTTTCACCCCGGGGTCCCTGCGTCCATTCATCCAGTTCCTGTCCCTTCTTGCCTTCTCGTCTTGCTTTTGGGCAGGAGTTGCCCATTTGGTCTTATATATTTGACTGAACTAAGAAGCACGTTCATTACGTGTGTTACTGTTTGTTTTATAGGCCATCTAATCTTTGTCTGAAAAGTGGGCTTCAGGAGTGGCTTCAGTTCTGAGTTAGCAGGGTGTCCAGGGGCCGTAGTCTCTGGGAGTTCCTCTAGTCTCTGTCAGACTGTAGTCTGGTATTTTTTTGTGAGTTTCAATTTTGTTTTACATTTTTCTCCCACTCTTTCTGGTACTCTGTTGTGAGCCCTGTCAGAGTGGTTGTTGATGGTAGCTGGGCACCATCTAGTTCTTCTGGGCTCAGGCTGATGGAGGCTCTGGCTCATGTGGCCCTTTAATCCTTTAGACTAATATTTTTCTTGTTTCTTTGGTTTTCTTCATTCTCCTTTGCTCTGGACGGAATGGGACCAATAGATGTATTTTCGATGGCCGCTCATAAGCCTTTATGAGCCCAGATGCTATTCCCCAAGTAGGATGTAGAACATTTTCTTTGTGAACTATGTTATGCCAGTTGACCTAGATGTCCCATGAGACCATGGTCCCCAGCCCTCATCCCCAGCAACTTGGTCCCTCAAGGTGTTTGGATGTGTCTAGGAAACTTCTGTGCCTTGGTCAGGTTGTGCTGACTTCCCCTGTATTGTGTGTTGTCTTTCCCTTCACCAAAGTTGACACTGGTCTACTATCTAGTTAGTGATTTCCCCATCCCACCCTTCCCCTCCCTCATAACTATCAAATATTGTTTTTTTCTGTGTGTGAACTTGTTCTAGGGTTTTTATAATAGTGGTCTCATACAATATTTGTCCTTTTGTGATTGACTTATTTCACTCAGCATATCTTCCAGATTCATCCATGTTGTGAGATGTTACATGGATTCATCATTGTTTTTCATCATTGCGTAGTATTCCATTCTGTGTATGTACCATAATTTCTTTATCCATTCATCTTTTAATGGGCACTAAGGTTGTTTCCATCTTTTTGCTATTGTGAATAATGCTGCAGTGGACATGGGTGTCCCTATTTCTATTGGTATGACAGCTCTTATTTCTCTAAGATGTATTCCTAGGAGTGGGATTGCTGGATCATATGGTATTTCTATTTGTAGCTTTTTAAGGAGGTGCCATATTGTTTTCCATAGTGGATGTACCATTTCACATTCCTACCAGCAGTGCATAACAGTTCCACTCTCCCCACAACCTCTCCAGTGTTTGTTATTTTCTGTTTTTTTGAATAGTGCTGGTATTGTCAGGGTGTAGTTTTGGTTTTAACATACTGCATAAATTACTATTCTTGTTTATTTTTTGTCATGCTCCCATTAGAATATAACCTTACAAGTGCAGTGATTTTTGTCTCTTTTATTCAGTCTGAGAACTTAGACCAGTGCCTGGCACATAGTTAGTTGTCGTTGTTGTTAGGTGCCGTCGAGTCAGTTCCAGTTTACAGTGACCCTGTGCACCACAGAATGAAACACTGCCTGGTCCTGCGCCATCCTCACAGTCGTCATTATGCTTGAGCCCATTGTTGCAGCCACTGTGACAATCCATCTCATTGAGGGTCTTCCTCTTTTTTGCTGACCCTGTACTTTACCAAGCATGATGTCCTTCTCTAGGGACTGATCCCTCCTGACAACATGTCCAAAGTATGTAAGATGTAGTCTCACCATCCTTTCTTCTAAGGAGCATTCTAGTTGTACTTCATCCAAGACAGATTTGTTCATTCTTTTGGCATTCCATGGTATATTCAATATTCTTCACCAACACCACAGTTCAAAGCATCAATTCTTCTGTCTTCTTTATTCATTGTCGAGCTTTCGCATGCATATGAGGTGATTGAAAACACCATGGCTTGGGTCAAGGTGATATCTTTGCTTTTCAACACTTCAATGAGGTCTTTTGCAGCAGGTTTGCCCAGTGCACTGTGTCTTTTGATTTCCTGACTGCTGCTTCCATGAGTGTTGATTGTGGATCCAAGTAAAATGAAATCCTTGACAACTTCAGTCTTTTCTCCATTTATCATGATGTTAGTTATTGGTCCAGTTGTGAGGATTTTTGTTTTCTTTACGTTGAGGTGTAATCCGTACTGAAGGCTGTGGTCTTTGATCTTCTTCAGTAAGTGCTTCAAGTCCTCTTCACATAGTTAAGCACTCCATAAATATTTGTTGAACGAATGAATTTATAGAATCTCTCTTGTGGGCTAAGTGTCATGTAAGGCACTTTCACATATGTTTTATAGTTTATCCTCATAATGTCTCAGTGAAGTAAATAGTATATTATCTGATAATTATATATAAGAAAACAGGTACAGAGAGGTTTAAGTAACTTGGCCAAAGTCACAAAACTAGGAAGTATTAGATTTGGATTTAATATCAAGTCTTCAAACTTCAAGTCTAGTTCTCTTCCCACAACAGCGAATTAGGGGGAAGAACACTTCAGTTCCAATTTGTGTGACTGCTGCTGCCCCAAAGCATTTTCAGTAGCAGTTGGCTTTAGTTGAAACTCTTGTGCTACTCTAGTTACTAAATGCTGAGGTAGAGAGGATTTAGCTATCTGTGTTATCACCAATTCATCAAACATTTTTGAATGGTTACAATCCTGGGAAAATAGAAAGAACTCTTTTTCAAACAGCTGCTATTTTTCAACTCTTGGGCGAGGTGCTATGTGAGGTTCCTTATGTGCATTATTTGTTTAATCTTCACACACCTCTCATTCAATTATTATTCCAATTTTAAGATGAAAGAAGCAAGAGGCAGTCTCTGTATTTAGGACACATAGACTGAATGTAGAAGGAAAGGAGTGAATTTAACGTATAGAAAACTACAAGTACTGTAATAGAAATGTGTATATGCCAGTTGATAAGGCACAAAGATGACAGCGGTGCTGTCTGCCGATATAGTGAGGTTTTAGGTTGGGTGAAATGAATTTAACCTTAAACAATAAGAAAGCTTTAGTGCTTAAGAGCATGGGCTCAAGAACCAAAGGGCCTGATCCTGGGTCTGCCACTTACTAACTTCGTAACCTTGGGCAAGATACTTAACCACAGTTTCCTCATTTTATAATGAGAAGAATTGCAAGATTGCTGTATGGATTAAATGAGTTGATATATACAAATGCCTAGAATAGCACTTAGTGCATATTGGTGAGCATGCAGTAAAGATTAGTCTGTTGTTATTCTCCTTCAAGCATATGAGAAGGGCAGTTGAGTTAAAGCTAGACTGTAGAGGCATAAAGATACATTATGTGTTTGCGAAAATGGCAAGAATATTAGTTTTTTGTCGCTAGAGCATAGGATACAATGTGGGAGTGGGAGATGAGTCTAGAAAGGTCAGCTGATTTTATATGTTAGGTGGTTTCAAAAATATGTTGTGAACAAATGAGTGCTACCAGCCTTGTTTAGAGCATCATTACCTCATCTGGACTATTGTAATAGCCTCTTAAATGGTATCTCACTCTTGTTAACCCTCAAACAAGCACCAGATTAATTTTCCTAGATAGGTTACTCCATATGGCAAGTCCAATACAAGTGCCACCTTCTCCATGAATTTAGTAGTTTCAGAGCTATAATTTATTTACTAGTTCTTAATCTCTATAGTGCTATTCCTTTCTTTTTTAATACTATTTTTACATGTCTTAACATTCCTACTAGATTAAATTCTTGAGGGCAGGAACTGCCTTATGTGTACATTAAGTTCTTATGGGAATACTATCCATGCTGTCCCATTTAGTGAATGTACCCTATAATTTGAAGTGATATATGTAGTACTAGCTATTTTTTAAATTTATGTTAGACTTAATCTGAAAAGACATAGTCTCTGTCAAAGTCTCCTCAGCCTCATCTGTGATAAGCAGGGCAATACCATGTTTCAAAAATACCTTCACTTTCCTTAAAATGTTAAACAATAGTTATTTGAGAATGGGGAGGGGGAAGTAAGTCTTATCTTAAATAGACTAAATTGGACAGGACACTGTTTTGACCTAAAAAAAAAAAAGAGAAGCTGACAGTGGGAGAAAAAATATTCTCCCTTTTGGACATTTATACTTCAACAATTCTTAATATTTTTTCCTTTTAGGAAGAAGAAGAAGAAGAGGAAAACAGGATGTCTGAAGAAGCTGAAAGACGATATCAAGAACAACAGAAGCAGCTGCAAACTGATTCCGTTGTTCAGAAAGATCAGCCAGAAACAGTGGTTTCTGCTTCATTTGTGAATGTCAGTTTTGAAATGGAGGGAGACTGTGAAGTAATTACGGAAAGCAAACAAAACCCAGTCTCTGTCCCACCCTAGAAATGAAATGACTATCAAACTTCAAATCCTGGTGTTGTTTTTATACCATGACCTTTCACATTCTCTATTCGGTGGGACTTAATATAATTATATTTTAAATTATTAAGTTATCCAGAATGGGAAAATGTTTCTTTATTCTTAGGCTCTATCTAGCAAAAGCCAGATCTGAAATTTGGGTATTTGTACTATGCTTTTAGTGTGTCCAATTAGTGATTTTTTTGTTTTTAAAAAAAAGTTGAGGACACGCTAGGGCCCGTCATCACTAACGAAGAGGTAAAAAAAATTATCAAGCTTGTGTTAACTTGTGTGTTTGGAAAAGATGGGTGAATTGCTGATTAAGACTCATTGGAGTTGATATTCCTAATCTCAAATTAAAATGAGGATTTTTTTTTCCCCTGGATTTTCTCATGTTGCCTTGCATTTATATATAGCTAACCATTAATTTTGTGCTAAGGCTGGTTTATTGAATGGGTAATAAAAGGATTAAGATGGAAGCCCTTTGAATTTTGTTTCATTGAGAGTAACCTTATTTTACGGAAGAGTGTTTGAGTTAGTTTATAACAACCAGCCCACTTGACCCCGTGTGTGTCAAAGTAGAACTCTGCTCCACAGGGTTTTCAGTGGCTGATTTTTTGGAAGTAGATCGCCAGGCCTTTCTTCTGAGTGCCTCTGGGTGGATTCAACCCTCTGACCCTTTGGTTAGCAGCTGAATGCGTTAACCATTTGCAGCACCCGGGACTCCAGTTTGTAACAGCACCAAATATTAAGATAGATTTCTATTTTTTAGTGCAGTTTGTCATTCTTTTCAGTAATTTATTCATTTAACCTAACATTAAAAGTGCTAGTTATGGAACAAATATATTTGTATTCAAATGGTAATACATAATGATTAACACCACGGCATCTTGTGACTCTTAAGAGTGGAGGTACAAATGAAGATTTAACCTCTCAGGAGGTCACTGTTAAATACTGTACAAGGAGCAATAGTTGCTGTCATTCACCATTCTGAAGTAGCGGTAGTGAGGTAGACAGTTTACTCAGACCAGGTTGGCCATTTCTCTACCCACTGAACTGTTTGCAAACCTTACAAAGGTATATAATATGAAGCTAATTTTGAAAATATTCCTAAAAATATGTTCAGAATCTTATGATATACCTGTATGACTTTGATGTATAACCAAATGTGGATAAGGAAGAGTGGATTATTCTAGAAATGCTTTTAAATGCCTGTTCACCAACTTAAAAATGCTTTTAAAAATTAATGGCTATGTTAATAGCTTTCTAAACAGCGTTAAGGTTTCAATCTTAAATATATTTATATAAAATATGGCTTCAAAGAAACAATACAGGTACAGTGGGCTTATTATGGAAATCTATCATCCATGAACGTGAAAATTTGGCCACTAAATTCTTCAGCTGAAATGGGAAGGATTTAGGAAGGATAATTAAATTCTTTATTAGCAGTCTTCAGTTATATGGATTCATGGTATGGTGACTCATAATATGTAATGGTAATCTTTATTCATTGGGTATAAACTCTTTAAATTAATGCTTAAAGAATTACTCTTCAGACCATGTAGGTTATGTAATTAATGTCACCATAAATTAATTTACCAGTAGCTTTAAAACATGCTAATCTGACCTCTTCCCTCCAGTTTGTTTTTAACTTGATTTGATTTCGTACTTCCAACTCATATGAGTATCAAATGAAGGGATGCATATCTAAAGGTGATGTTCTGAATCTTCTCTTCCTAGAGGCACTAGTATCTATCTAAAGGAGGTCACCTAGGAACTTTTCTAATTGTAGCAGAAAGAAAACAGTGACTTATGAAGGTTTTATATTTCTTGAATTTTACTTTCTCTACTTGTCCAACCGTGGCAAATTTGTAATGTTTATAAATTTAGTTATTAACTGTGCCTTAAATTTTTATACTTTTTATGTAAACTATAAAATTTCCCATAAATGCATTAAATGGTTTTACTTTAAGCCTCTTTCACTTTTTCCTAATTTGTCTCAAGCCTTTTAATAACTACTAATCCCTCTGTATCATAGTTCATGATATTCTACCGTCTTCTAATCTTTCATCTCATAAAAGCCAAACACAACAGTTACTTTAATTGAAGATCCTTTTACACTTAATTAACATAAATTCTCATGGCTCTTAATAAAAGTTATGCTTTATAAAATATAAACCTGGTAATAGTTAATAAAGCTAGACAAAATTTTTATGGCAATGATTTTAATTAAAATATTAGTTTGAATACTTTTTATTGGAAACATCCTATTAAAAGATGTCCTAAACACTTATAACCCAGAAATAACTCTATGTTAATAAATGGAAATTCTATTATTATCTTTGCTATATGTAATATTTTAGAAGACCGAGAGTTAAATGACATTATAATTCATTATAATTCTTAGTGATTAATGTCAGAAACATTTCATAAAAACTTAACCTTTATCAGGATAGTCAGGAATAGGAGGAGGATATGGAATGTGTGGCTAATTGCCTCCACAAACAACTTCTTCCTTTGCCATGAGACCGGAATAACTCGATGGTGCCCAGCTACCATTACTGAACATTTTGATCAAAGATTCCATCGAAGAACCCTGATCAAAACGGGGAAAACACAGAATAAAATTTCAAATTCTCATGGACTCTAGACTTTCTGGAGCCATGGAGGGTGGATGAACCCCTGAAACTATTGCCCTGAGATAATCCTTAAACCAAAAAAAAATCCCTTGAAGTCATCTTAAAACTGAACAATAGTTTAGCTTAACTAGTAGAAAATGTCTGCCTTGAGCATTATGCTCTTTTTAAGAACTATCTGTATGAGATCAAATTGACAACAGCAACTCTAAAGAGTAGAACCTTAGGGGGCAGTGAGTTTGTTAATGAGGGAGGAACAACTCAGAAAAGGAGGGTGAGAATGGTTATACAACTCAAAGAATGTAATTAATGTCACTAAATTTGTACGTGTATAAACTTGAATTGGTGTATGTTTTGCTGTGTATATTCTCAACAAAATAAAATTTAGAAAAAAAAAACTATCTCTAAAGAGTACACAGACTTAAAGTAGACATGGACACCTATATTCAGCAAACCAGTTGGCATTAGAAATTAAATGGGACCAGAATTTACCACCTCCTAAAAAGCAGTTATTTGGTTCTATTGCTTCCAAACTATTGCAACCAAAATTCCAGTAACTAACACATTTGCTGTGTTCTATAAGCAGATGAAAATGTTTTATTTAGACCATTTCCAAGAATTCTGCTTCAAAGGTTTTGCATGCAGCATTCAAGCTTTCAAAGATCACGTATCATCAAGGTCTGCAGAGTTTTCACTGTCATTTGCAACAAGGGCTTCTCTGTTCTCATATGTCCAGAAGCCATTCAGATCAATTAGAATGGTGGTGACTGTGTCTCCCTGATTACTGTTGATTAAATCCTGAAGAGAGATTTTCAAAGGATCCTTTGGTTTTACCATGTCAAAGATTTCATCCTGTAATGAGGGAAAAAATAGTTAAATCTGGTATCTGATTTCACTTTAAGAATTTCCATCACATAATGTCTAAAATTCAGGACTGACACAGAGCTTATATAAAATTATTTTGTTCTAGTTTTTCTTTTCCATTTAACAGGTAATCTCGTTTTTCTACCTATAATCACAAAATTTTATTGGAAGTTTCCTTAGCTATGTGATAGCTAGTCCACATTTTATAAACAAAGAAATAGGCTTAGAGTTTAATCCATGCTACATTGTTAATTAATGACAGAACTATCTAGTGCAGTGCTCTTTGAATATATTGCCTCCCTATACTTTACTATTGTCTTCTAATTGATTTACTTAAGTGGAAACTCAGTTCATTTAAAGTAAAAATTTAACTGCTTCAGAATCAAGATACAAAGCTTCATTTCCAGTATTGATGTCAACCTACCATGGACCTAAGATGGCAAAGAGGGGAGGAAGTTAGATGTTAATATGAGTATTTCCAAGGAATTAGTACATATCTTCTACTTTTTGTAGTAAAATTACTCAGTATTTTAGTAGCATCTAAAGAGGCAAACTGCATTCAGATTAGAAGCACAACTTGTAGAATGTAATCAATGTCACTGAATTGTACATGTAGAAACTGTTGAATTGGTTTATGTTTTACTGTGTATATTCTCAACAACAAAAAATCCACTAGCGAAGGGGGAAAAGATTAGAACAACTCAGGTAGATGTGTGAACTTTTAATTTTGTATGTTTGTGAAATCTCCCTGTTTAGGGTGGTTGCAGTTTAAAATTACTAGTTCTTAAACTGCCTGATGCAAAGTTTCAAATTTGTTTGATATATATTAAACCAAAAAGCCCTTTATCTTATACTTACTTAAAATTGAACAGGGCCATTTTATTAAGTTACTCAACCTGAACCTGAATGAGTACTGGATACTCAATGTTTTTTAATAATCGGTGCAAGTCAGAAAATGCTGGGTAGCAGCATGTGTTTCTAATACTGGTAGTTTCCATACTGTAGGATTGATGTCTCCTTAAATCTAATACCAAAGTGAACAAACCCTTTAAAGTAGCAGACCAAAAACACACCCTAACTTAAACAGTTCCCAAGTTAAAAATTCTGTTTGTAGTGGAACAGGCTGTGAAGGGATGCAGGCTATATTTTCTTAATTTTCAAAGACAATGAATGAATGCTTCCAATGAGAACACAAGACTGACAATGCTAAAATCATAAGCTATACAAATCAATCAGTCTAAATACAGTCTCACCTTCTAATGATTTACATATCAGTTAGCACACATGAGAGCAAATATCTGATTCTGTATAGTACTTCATAGCTCCTAAGTTGCTTTCATATAAAATTTCATTTAATATAAATGATTTATCTGGTATTATGTAAATTAAAGGAAAAAGTAACCTTGACATCTTGAAATGAAACAGGATCTTGTCCATGGATTTTCATTAGTTCCTGTATGGCCTGTATTTAATAGAAATAAATCTGAAAATAAATAAAACATATAATAACCTTCCTCCTGCCCCAATTTAGCCTTTCCTAGGTTCACTTCCTTTCTTTCCTATCAGACCACAAGCTTCATTGTCTCAACCCCTTCTGCCAACATTCTCAACTTCCTTGATCTTGCTCCACATCCAGTCAGCAAAACCTGAACACTGGATTAGTATAACCATCTGCCTTTCTAGTCCTACACCGTAGCTACTGAGAACTCCAGAAGAAAATGACACAAGACTGCAGATTGCTGCTGCTACATAGGCATGATCTCCAACCTCAAGGGGGCCCTCAGCGTGGCCTAGCAATTATTCTGTTATGCTCCTTCCATTTTCCATGAACACTGTTCATATTTTCACCACTCTTGAAGCCCCTAATCCACCCTTTCTTCCCACCCCATACCCTGCCTTCTACTTGACAGAAAAAATGGAGGCTGTCCTCCCTCAAATTCTTCCCTTTTACAAACTTTATTGGAAAAAAAAAAAGGAAGGAACCACTATGATCCAGTTGGATTAATAGATATTTCAGGTGATAATCATTCACTATGGAAAATGTGAACCTTAAAATTCTTGGTAAATATTCAACTAAATATGATCCAAGTGACTACTCTGTTTAAGGTGCTACCAGGGGCAGTATGAGTTGGAATCGACTCGATGGCAACAGGGTAGGGGCGGATTATCTGATGAGCAAAGTAAGCGCATGCTTGCTTGTGCTTACTAATCTATAGTGAACAACTTCACATGTCAGCACATCAAAGATTCTACTTCTAGGTATGGTTGGCATCTGTCTCTCTTCCAAACCCAAAGCACCTTCCTACAGAACCAAAGCCTCTTTTCAAATTTACAATCCCAGTAGTGGGGTGGGGAGCGAAGACTCAGTAAGCAAGGTAAGCACAGGCTTACTTGTGCTTACTCATCTGCAGTGAACAATTTCACCTGTGTTTCACTTTGATGTGGTGAAACCCATGTGAAATTGTTCACTACAGATGAGTAAGTAAGCACAAGTAAGCCCATGCCTACCTTGCTTATTGGATAATTCGTCCCTGGATGCTCCGAATATCAGAATATCCATAGGGAATCTCTTTGAACTATGGAGATCAGTGTCTGTGAGTACACTTTTGGCTACTATAAGCAGAGTGGTAGACCTGAATGGTGTGACACAGAGTACACCATTCAGGCCCTGCTTTACCACTGGGATACTGATGGACAAAGGCTCCACAACCAGCCCAGGATTACAGGGTTCAGTGCCAGAACTTTACACCTTAGTCCATACAACCAAACCTAAATAAAACTTTGATAAAATAGATGCATATAAGAAATACTTTAAATTATTTTATAAACAAAATTTAATATTCTAAAAGTAGAAGATACTAAAATCTTTATGAAAAAGGGTTTTGTGTTTAATTTCCAAAAGACATACTTGGCTCTTCTAAAATTGAATGTTCATTTAATAGGTTTGCCTAAAGTGGGGGCACACCTATGATAGGTTGGTCTTATCCTCTCAGATTAGCAATTAATTTATGCTCATATAGTATTCAATTAAAAAAAAAGTAATACAGGGTTGCTATGAGTCAGAATCAACTCAATGGCAGTGAGTTTATTTTTTTTTAAACACCGAGACTGTAATTTATCCTTATAATATTTATAGTCACTATTACCTAAAAATTCATAATGGAAAGCCTTTGAGGGAATTTACCATGAAATTATGAAACATATGCTATGAAAGTCATAAGGATAAATTCAGAAAACAGAGTTATTTAAAGATACCAAAAATGTTTTAAAATGGAAAAGAAAAAGGCTTTAGGGGACAATGGTCTATGACAAAGATGTGAAAATGTCTTTTTTAGTGCTTAAAAAAAATTTTCTACTGTTGATCTTTACTGTTGATAAAAATAAAAACTAGCTATGGAAATACGGTGATGGAGTGGGATATTACTGTACAAAACTTCCATCCAGTGGAAAAGTCACTATTCAAATTGAGGAATATTTTTTGTCTTACAAGGGCAGACATTCCTACTTGTATACCTGCTGTATCTGAATGCTTATCAAATACAATCAATTCCTACCTAAGAACTCATCTGAGACCAATTAAGGCACAAAATTAGTGCTTCAGTAAACGTTTCACACTGAAATGCAGCAGATGATTCTGGCCAGTTTTTAAATTATTTTTATTTATTTATTTTTACAGTACAGCAATTAAAAGAATCTGCAACTACAAAAGTCTGCAAGACTTCTGTGGAAAAGAGCTACCTTTCCTAACTATTTAATTAAAGCTTCTATAGGATTTTATACACTTGGTCACCAAGAACACAGGATTTCTCATGCATGTTTGTATCTCCAATGGCTAATACATCCCTTGACATACACATAATACACAATTTTAGTATTCTACATCCCAAATCAGCTTTAATTTAGCCCATTTATATTTTTTAAAAAGAAAAAAAAAATCTTGATTTCCTTCTGAAATCTGTTGTATGTAAGCCTTTTTAAGTTAAAAAAAAAAAAATTACAAATCATGTAAAATTGTCACTAGGTAATTTAAACCAAATGGTACAAAATATTTTACACAAATAAGACTTACCCTAAAGAAATAATTAAGGGAAAAGACATTCAGATATCCTTTGTTCTCAATATCAAGGAGTTTGAAAATATATTGCAGAGCTGCAGGTTCTTTTCGGTTTTCTAATGCAAGAACAAAGTCTAGGTAGGTCTTATAGTCCTGTTAAAAAAAAAAAAAAGACATTTATTAGAGGCTTTAGTTGGAATTAGTTTTTCAAGTGAATATCTGGTGATCTAAAGCTATTTTGACTATAGTGACTAAGGTCATCATAAGCTACCACTACATTTACATCTTCATTTCAGTGTAGTCATTTTGAAAAAAATTATCTGAAACAGAACATTATATTTAAAAAGCTATTTTGAAATATTGCTTAAAATTTTTAAATCAGATGATTTCCAATAAGGATGTTTTTAAGAAAACCATCTTGAGACTGCCAGATGTTCTATAGTGAGCTCAAACTGTTCTCATCTGAAAACAGGTAAAAGAGTACAAATAAGAGCTAGAAAGACATGAAGAGAACACAGAGCTCTTCCTACACCAAAGGGATATTCACACATTACTTTTTTTGCATGATGAAAATAAGTAGACTACTTGGGAGATTCTTTCGTAGAAAAAAATTCTTGGAAAGGATTTTGTAGGCTAAGATCAAGAATTTTTGCACCAACTGAAGTATAAAGAGAGAAATGCAGCCTCATCATGGTCTAACTCCATCCACAGTTGTGGCCTCCAGTTTTCTTTATTCACCAGAAGTCATTAGTATACTACAAGCTCCTCCCTGTCAACAGCTGTGGGAGTCACAAAGCAGAGTTTCTGTGCCTTTTTTCCTTTGCAGATGGTTAACAATGACGTTTAACAAACTGCTATAGCTAAAAGATAAAACCGAAAACCCTGTTCTCTTCTGATAATATGACTTTCTTAAGCATTTGCTTTGGAAAATTTACCAGATCCTTAACACATGTTTTAGCACATCCTTAGCAAGAATGGAGACTTAAAATGCTATTTACAATTTTCCTTCTCAAGTATGTTGAATTACAATGATAAAAGGACAAATAAGGTATTAAAATTTTCTATTTAAACTAAGCACACATAGGAAATAAGGTTTTTCAACAAATTTATCTTAAGATCAAAGATATTGTTCAAGATACTGTTCCCAAAACGAAACCCATTGCCATAGAGTCAATTCCGACTCATAATGACCCTACAGTACAGAGTAGACCTGCCCCATAGGGTTTCCAAGGGTATAATCTTTATGGAAGCAGACTGCTGCATCTTTCTCCCACGGAGCTGCTGGTGGGTTCGAACCACCAATTTTTCAGTTAGCAGCCGAGTGCTTAACCACTGAGCCACCAGGGCTCCTTAAGATATGGTTACACACTGAAACAAAAATAATGCTGTATCAAAAAAAGGGTCTGTGGAAACTGTGGACACCTAAATTTTTTTTTAACATATCAGGAGATTTAAACTACTACCATTTCTCCATCATAAGTGAGACACTCCTGGAAAACACGGTCTAAGAAGACATTGGTCATAGTTGCTGTTCCATAGCGGGAGAGTTCTTCTTTACTGAGCATGCCATTGTGATCCTTATCAAGATTCAAATATTGGCCTTGGGAAGAAAGATGATGAAAAGACACTTGTGATCAAAATAAACTAAATAAAGAAAAAAAGGATAGACATTAGCAAAAAGTCCTTTTTATTGGTTAGTATTTCGATTTTCAAACTAAGTACCGTTAAGGTAGTGCTCTTACTGTAAAAACATCAGCTATCTCTGCAATCTCGATCAGAACAACCATTAAACTAGAAACAGTCAAAACGACAGGAAGGCCATGGCCTTTGGGCTATTTCACTTACATCATTATTTATTTTCAGTTTGCAACCTTTCAGAACTGCCCCAGGTTTCTAAATTAGATGGAGGTAGGGGTCAACAGAAAGCACTGTCACTGGCACTTGAAAGCAGAGATCAACGATGCCATAATGGAGTTGGAAGAATCACCCAACAGAATAATGTAGCAGACTAATGAAATTCAATAAAAGAGCAAACCAAGCCCTAGAACACCTTCCCTTGTGACCTGAGAGCAGCATTTTATCACAATGCAAGACAATAGCTGATGTTCATAATGATGCTCCTGGGTCAACAAGAAAGGAAGAAATTACATTCTGTATGTTCAGTTTGAAAGTAAAGTGTAATACCTTAAAAAGATTTACAAAAAATTTACCAAAGTAAAAATGCAATGGTATTTAAACAAGTAAGCTTTAGTAATCTTGAATACTAGATCTTAAGGTAATTAGAATACCTTGATGTTAAGGTAAATTAGCCTATGTATAAAATTGTCCTCTGGAAACTAATTAACTGAGGAATGGATAATTTAAATTTTAGCATTATGACAGGAACATACCATAAACCCTCAGGGCTGAGGGAGCAGAAAACCAATTTGTTTCTTGACTCTCCTTGGACAGTTCCTCATCCCTTAGCTAAATGAAGAAAGAGACATAATCAGAAGGCAGTAACTGTCAAGCGATATAATTAGACAAACAAACAAACAAACACTATATTTACCTCCAATAAATCATCTAGGAAGCTGCATGCTAAAATATCTTGAATTTTTATCTTCCCTTTATAGAACATAAAGAAACACAATTACTTAATTTCATTTTTAAAACGAGAGCAACTTAATTTTTAAAAAGTATTATTTTAGAAGAGGTATTTAAAGCTTCTCAGCTCTTATGCTCTAAAGTCCTTATTACATAAGTCTGCAGGGAACATTTAATAAAATCTCTACTTGCATGTCTACTTGTATACCACTAACTATATAAATCCAAGTGATAAATCCTTTCTAAATTACACTGATATTAGATTCCAAATAAAACTGTTGAATATTTTGTGAACATGGATATGTGGAAGGTTCTGGTATAGGAAGCAATAGAGGCATGGTTAAGAGCAGACAGATGAAAGTCTGAATGCCACTTATAGATAGGTAATCTATTTAAGTCTCAATTACCTCATATATAAAATATGGACAATAATAGTACCCTCCTTATGGGATTTTGAGGAATAAATGAAAAGAATCTGTATAAAATGCCTCGGACAGTGCCTGGTGTATAACAAACAGTCAAAACTGTTAGCTATTATTATTTTGTATAACTTCAAAGGGAAAAGATGTGTATGTGCCTACAGTGGAAGAGTTTAAAAAAGATTTGTCAGCTACCATGTACTGTGATGGGCTCAGCTGAATTTTCAACAACAGAAGGAGAACCGAATACTTTGATTTGGGCCTTCTCTGTTCCTTCCTCTGCCCGTTATACATACTGAAGTCTGAGCAGGTTAAGATAGTTGATAAAGCATACTGTGGATGAGGCCAAATTACTAATCTGTTCCCCATATAGGATCGTTTACATAATAGAAAAATATATAATGGTTAAATGGTTCTTATAGTTCCCAAATGCATACTTTTCATCAAAAAGAGAACAATCCTCCAGCACATCACAAATTAAGGGCTACAAATTATATAAGAACTGGAAGGAGCCACAGTGATTGATTACCTAGCTTATGTCTCTTCATTTTAGGGGGGAAGAAACTGTGAGAGGTTAGTGGCATTTCCACTGTCACACAGCTGGTTATAGTTGTTGCCAGTAAATGATAAAAGAAGAGCTTAATATAAAATCTACACCAAAACACTGCTGCTGTTTTGAGTACTTTTCTACCTACTTAAAATTCACCACATTATTAATGACAATGACATATTAGGAAAATAATTAAATGACATTTTCAAGACTTTTCTCTAGTTATCGAGATTTAGAAATAATAATATTCTTGTAATTTCTAAGTTAGATAAGATTTTCTTTTACCTGTTCTTAGAGGGTCTAAAAAGAAGAAGAACTTCCTAACTGCAGTACAGACATAAAAGGAGTAAAACGATTTTTCCAGCCCATCTAATTGTGGCAAAGTAGGGATAAGTTCCAATATGTAATTTTCTAAATCCTGAAACAAACAAAACAAAATATAACTTTAAAGCATCAAATGTCCGATCTTGATTCTTCATTAGTTTACTGGAATATAATTTCCGCCCTAAAAATTATTCCTCATTAATAGTATATAAATGATGGAATTCATGACTATGTTAGTGGTGAAACTATGTTATATTCATTGTTTCTACTAATTTACTTTTTATTTATTTTTTGAATAACTAACATCCTACATAGTTCAAAATTCAAAATGAATAAAAAGATAGTCAGTAAAAAGTCTCCCTCTTACCCATTTCCTCTCCCCAGAGGTAACCTGTATTATCAGATTCTGATGTGTCCTTCCAAAGATAACTGACGTACGTACAAGCCAGTACCTACGTATTTTTCTCTCCTCATTTTTACACAGGATATAGCAGCACAACACGTAAATTCTTCTGCATCTTACTTTTATCATCTAACAAAATACCTTGCAGTAATTCCATATTGTCTCTCAACGAGTTGGTACATTTTTAAATAGCTACATATTATTCCTATAGGGTCACTATGCATCGGAATAGACTTGATGGCAATGGGTTTTAGTTTTTATTACATTGTATGGATGGATCATAATTTAACCAGTCTTCTCTTGATGGACAGTTAGGTTTTTTCCAGTCTTTTGCTACTCAAAAACAATGCTACAAGGGCTGAGCTGATACATTTTTCATTCATAGATATTGTGGGAGAATACCTATAGGATAAATTTCTGTATGTAGAACTGCTGGGCCAAAAGGTATGCACGTTTATAATTTTGATAGATATTGGCAAATTTCTCACTTTCCCACAAAGGCTACATCAAGTTTACATTCTTAGCAACAATATGATGGCTGTTTCCACAGTTCCCGAACTGTGTACCAAGGTACCCTGTACACTCTACAGTGAACTCAGAAGGGTGCAGCAGGATATTTTAAAATTTTAACGTATTTTAAAATTTGGACATTGCACAATCTACTAGCTCGAGGTAGTTCACGTTTTCAGCATTAGATTGTGCTATATTCCTTTTGACGACATCAATCTTTGCAAAGCCAGGTTTTTGGCAGTTGCTGTGATAAAGCAAGCACCATCAAAAATCAGTGTGGAACAGGATATGAGGTTTGAGTAGATGTACAATGCTCAGTGATTACAACACATCCCATTAGTAATCGTTATTTAAGAATGAAGTAAAAATATTTTCTTTCTATTTATGTGTATTATTTTTTCAAATAGCTAATAAGTTGTTAGGCTATGAATACTTTCAGTAAGTTGTTCAAAAAAAACCAATTGCCATGAATTTGCTTCCAACTCATAAGGACCCATGTGTGTCAGAACAGAACTGTGCTCCACTGGGTTTCAACGGCTGATTTTTTGGAAGTAGATCATCAGGCCTTTCTTCTCAGGTGCCTCTAGGTGGACTTGGACCTCCAACTTTTTAGTTAGCCACTGAGCATGTTAACCAAAACTAAATAATAAATGGAACTATTAGGTATTTCTTTTGGCCTAGAGGTGCTATGAAAAAAATAACTGACACCTAGAACTACTATACGACCCAGCAATTCTACTCCTAGGTATATACCCAAAAGACTTGAAAGCAGAGACTCAAACAGAGACTTGTAAACCAATGTTCACTGCAGCACTATTCACAATAGCCAAAATGTGGAAACAACCGAAATGCCCATCAACAGATAAATGAATAAACAAAATGTGGTACATATATACAATAGAATACTACTCAGCCAGTCAGAGAAATGAATGCTACAATATGGATGGAACCAGAAAACATTATGCTGAGTGAAATAAGTCAATCACAAAAGGACAAATATTGCATGACTTCACTTATATAAAAAGACAGATGTATAGAGAACAAAGTTTATTAGTGGTTGCCAGGGGCTGGAGGAAACAGAAGGAAGGGGTTGATGGTGATGGAAATATCGTGATGATTAAGGGTAGGGTTGCACAGCCAATTGTTGTAATTGCTGTCAATAAGTTATACACCTGTAAAAAATTGAATTGGCAAAAGCTGTGTGATAGGTATATTTACACCAATGACAAAGACAAAGACTAACTGCTGAGGCTGATTATGTACAACAAAAAACCTCATGGGATTTGGTTTCTTGGGTTGGAGGTTTTGGGTCATGGTTTCATGGGATATCCCAGTTAATACACCTAATGACATGTTTAGTGTCTCTGTTCTACCTCCTAGTTCGATGCGTAGTGCCTGGGGTCTTAAAAGCTTGCAAGCGGCATTCCAAGGCACAACAACTGGCCTCTATTCGCCTGGAACAACAGAGGAAGGAGAGTCAGGAATAGGAGGAGGATAGGGAATTTGTGGTAATTGCCTCCATGAACAACTGCCTCCTTTTCCATGAGACCAGAATAACTGGTAGTGCCTGGCTACCATTACTGAACATTTTGATCAAAGATGCCATAGAAGAATCCTGATCAAAAGAGGAAAAATACAGAACAGTATTTCAAATTCTCATGGACTCCAAACTTTCTGGAGCCATGAAGGTTGGATGAACTCCTGAAATTACTGACCTGAGATAATCTTTAAATCTTAAAGCAAAAATACCTCCTGAAGTCTTTTTGAAACCAAACAACAGTTTAGCTTAACTAGTAAAAAACATGTGTCTTGAGCATCATGCTCTTTTAAGAGCTATCTATATGGGATCAAATTGACAACAACACCTCAAAAGATTAGACAGGAACCTTAGCGGGCAGCAAATTCATGTTAATGAGGGAGGAGTAACTCAGAAAAGAAGGGTGAGACTAATGCACCACAAGTACCACAGCCTCCACCAGACTGAATTCAGCACAACTAGATGGGGCCTGGCTACCACCACTGACTGCCCTGACAGGAATCACAACAGAGGGTTCCGGACAGAGCTGGAGAAAAATGTAGAACAAAATTCTAACTCACAAAAAAAGACCAGACTTACTGGCCTGACAGGGACTGGAGAAACCCCGACAGTATGGCCCCTGGACACGCTTACAGCTCAGTAATGAAGTCACTCGTGAGGTTCACCCTTCAGCCAAAGATTAGACAGGCCCATGAAACAAAATGAGACTAAATGGGCACACCGGCCCAGGGGCAAGGACGAGAAGTCAGGAGGAGACAGGAAAGCTGGTAATGGTCAAGAAGGGGAGAGTGTTGACATGTCATGGGGTTGGTAATCAATGTCACAAAACAATGTGTATTAACTGTTTAATGAGAAACTAGTTTGCTCTGTAAATCGTCATCTATAAAAAAAAAAAAAAAAAAAAAAAAAAAAGTGAAAGAAAAAAAAGGAGGGTGAAAATGGTTACATAACTCGAAGAATGTACCCAGTGTCACTAAATGGAACATACAGAAACTGCTGAACTGGTGTATGTTTTGCTGTGTATAATCTCAACAAAATAAATAAAATTATATATTTTTAAAAAAAATTACTGACACCAAGGGCACTGCAAACTGAGGAGGTCTGGGAACCATGACCTATTCTACATTCCCTCACAAAGATGCATTTTCAAACCTTTTGATCTTTGTCAGTGTGACAGGTGAAAGAGATTATTTTAGTGTTGATTTATTTGGCATTTTCACTTATTATAAATGAAATTAAAATCTTTTCTTAAGAGTAAGAAGCATTTGTATTTTACTTTCTGCGAATTATTTTTATCCTTTACCCAGTTTTCTATTGAGTTAATGATCAACTGTTTTCTTCTTGATTTCTAGGAGCTTTTAATATATTAGGATAATTGGCCATTTATCGCTGAGTTTCAGATATTTTTCCCAGTTTCTTGCTTTTCATTTATGTTTGTGTATGATGGTCTTTGGAGCCCTGCTGGAGCAGTCGTTAAGAGCTCAGGCTCCTAAACAAAAGGCTGGCAGTTTGACTCCACCAGCTGCTCCTTGGAAACCCTACGGGGCAGTTCTACTCTGTCCTATGCTATGAATCGGAATCAAGTCGACAACAATGGGTTTGGGTATGATGGTCTTTGCCCTACAGAATTAAAAATATATATACTTATTTAGCTGAATTTATTAACTTTTTTTAGGCTTCTGAGTTTTGTCATACTTAGAAAAGGCTTTCCCTATTCCACAATTTCATACTTAAAAGTCTCCCATGGTTTTTTATATTTATTTTAAAAAATTTGTTACTTTTACCTTAGCCAGTTTAAAGTATAATGTTTATCGTATATCTCAGATGTTTTATAATTTAAGTTGTAGAACAACAGGCATCTCAAACTTCATGTGTCTAAAACAGGACTCTTAGCATCCGTAGGAATCCCTGGGTAGCACAAACAGTTACCGCGCTTGGCTGCTAACCAAGAGATTGGCTGTTTGAGTCCACCCAGACGTACCTTGGAAGAAAGGCCTGGTAATCTACTTCAGAAAAATCAGCCATTGAAAACTCTATGGAGCACAGTTCTAGTCTGACACACATGGGGCCTCCTCAAGTTGGAATCGACGGCAACTGTTAACTGGTATCATCTTTAACCCTGGTCCTCACTCATTTTTCCCTATTACAGCAGTTTTTAAAAACAAAATTTTAAGACTCATCTTGGTTCCTACGTTTCCCTCACCTCCTGCCCCCCACATCCAATCCAGCAGCATTTTTATCTTTTTTCAGGGGAGGGGCAGGGGGAGGAAGAGGTGTCCAACATATACATTGAATTCATCTATTTCTGGCTTTCTCTACAGCCACCCCCCCGGTGTGGACCACTATGATCTCCTATCTGGACTACTGCAGTAGCCTCCTAACCATTCCCGGTTCCACTCTAAGCTTCTTACAATCCATTCTCCACACAAGGACTTCCGGCAAGATGGTGCTCTAGGCAGAAGCACCACACCATCCCTACACAGCAAAGATCTGAAAAACTAAGTCAAACAGAGAAAACAGCAATCCTGAAACCCTAAACATCAAATGAAGAGATAAAGAACTCAGCCTAGCACCAAATGGAATAAGAAACCGACAGAGAACAGAAAGCGAGGAGACATACATGCAGAGGTCTCCTATCAGCTAACACAGCATGGATCCGCCATCTTGGACTCTATCAGAGACCAGCAAATAGGGGGTATGAGAAAGCAGCTTCACAGAGCTTCCAGCAGGAGATAGAACCACTAACTGGCAATATACGCTTTCCCAACCCCCACCCTTCTTCATCTCCACTCGGCCTCCTCTGCTTCCCGCATCCAGTCTCTTGGCCAGGAAGCACCAGCTGCTTGATTTCCACCCGCCCGCACTGGATGACTCCCTGAGTGCCATTTGTTGGCTGCTGGTGTTGCTTTTTTCCGCTTCTTTTGATTTCTTCCTTACCTCTCACCACCTCCCCCCTCCTTTCACTCAAATACCTGGATCCGTGCACCATCTTTCCTTCTTCCTGAGGGCTGTGGAGCTCTGCTCGAGTGTGGAACTGCTTCTTGGTCCATGCTGCCACACTGGTGGGATCCTGGGGCTTTTTTGTTTGTTTTGAATTGTTTGTTTTCTTTTTCTTTTCTCAAGTTGGGAGGCCGTTCTGGCTGGGCAGTGCTGCGTGGCTTGGGACCTAACCCCTCAGCTTGTGCAGATGCACAGACAGATCCCTGAGAGCATTTCTTTTTCATGGTTTTTTATTTTTTTGTTCTTTTTTTTGTGGGGGGGGTTCTTGTTCTTTTCTTTTTGTTTTCTTTTCCCTCTTTTTCCCTTTTTGTCTTTCTTCATTACTCAGTGTCTCATCTCTCTATACCTTCCTTCTCTTCCTGACCCCTGAATAACTGGGCTGAGTGACACCTCTATGCCTTCTAGCCAGGCTGTACTTCAACACCTGAGAACAACTCCCCCAGACCTGGTAGCCGCACCAGTGGGATCCTTGGGAGCTTTTCTTTTTTCTTTCTAATTTTAATGTATTCATTCTTCTCTTTTTTTTCTTCTTCTTCCCCTTTTTGTTTTTCTCAATTTCATAGTCTCTCACCTCTCCACTCCAATTGCAAGCTCCTCTAGCAGTTTTTTTTTGTTTGTATGTTTTTGGCTCCTGTTCCTCCCTCCTCTCTCCCATATCCATCTTAGCTCCACAAAACACAATCTACCTCCTCCATTCTGCCTACCTGCACCGTGCGCTTAACATTACACCACCAAGCAGCACCTGCACAGCCTACCAGAACCTGTCCTGCAGTGATTACCAACCTGCCCTGGTGGCTGTAGTAAGTGCTACAAACAACCCATCCCAGCAACTCCTCTTCAGCTAGACCCACCCTGCTGTATCATATCTTAGCGACTGACCCTGCCAATTGGAGAAGGCGAAAAGTATCATAACCACAGGTGAGCAAACAACAAAGAACACA